ATCACCCCAGGTCCCCGTGCAAGCGATCCCAGGGTCCTTTTGTGTGAAGTCTGGCTACAAACCTTCACAGGGCAGACTGACTGAGGCCACGTTGTGCTTGCCGCAGCTCCTCTGATGAACTAACCTTGGAGGATACAGGGTTGCTAAAGCGAACAGAGAAAAGTTTTTTTCACAAACATTTCAAAAAGTTCTGTTGTGTTCCTGACCCTGGCTTGAACGTGAGAGCAGTGGCCCTACCTCTCACTGTGTCTGCTTCAGTCTATAATGAGGGCGCTTCTAACATCAGACCTGTTAGAACAGCATGAAGGAGTTAAGGTCAACAAGACTGGGGTAGGGTTTCTGCAAGGGACAAGCGCCAGCCAGATTAAAACGTCCTGGAACCACACATGTAAAGGGCACTTCCAAGCCTGCCTGTGGGCGAAAGGAGGCTGATGAGAAACAGCAGGAAGCAGGGACACAGACCCCCGAGAGGACCGGGCAGGAGACACGGGCGCGTGCGCACGTGTACATAGGTACACGCACGAGACACACATACACACCCATACACGCAGGTGTGTGCCCACACACACACGTGCACGTGTACCTATGCACACGTGCCACACACCCTGCATAGACTCCTCTCATGGAAATACCTGTTTCGTTGAAGAAAATGATGGCAGGTTAACTGATTTCCAGCAACCAAGCTGCACCCTGGCCCTCGGCGCCACTGTGGGTTAACAAAGCCTCCAGGTGACGCTACGTGGGAGCATCCAGGTGCTCTGCCTCCTTCAAAGGCAGTGTCACCATAAGCCTGAGGAAAACGGCCAGTGATGAAGCTTCCAGCCCACCTCCTGGCTCTCCAAGTATGAGTAAAGGCTTTGGGAGGAGCACACATTTACGACCAGAAGCCTCTTCAAAGGGAAGGAATTCCTCGTGTTCATCTGACCCGACCACCCTGTTTCAGAGGCAGGTGGAGCCCTCCTGGCCTGGCCCCTTAGCGCTGGTTCCATGGTCCCCCGACCCGTGGGAGCTTGAGAGGTGCAGAGGCCAAGACCTCGCCCTCCCGACCCCATCTCTGCCCCATGTGGAGATCCACAGCCAGCTGCCTGTCTGGCCACACCAGTAACATCAGAGGTACTGCGGCTGGGCTGCGGGCACCACCGCTGTTAGGTTTTACATCATGTGTTTTAATAAAATTAAAGTACACAGAGCACTTCAGAGAGGGCGGTACTGTACCGACTGGAGGTGACAAGCACCCTCCGGCCTCGCAGAAATTCTGCTTGAAAACCTCGGTACTTTCAGGGGCGACAGCCCTGCTGACCACATGTGTGGTTTACGCCTTCCTCGGAATTTCCAGAAATGCAGGGCTGGGAGCCTGAGCTCTCTCCCTGCAGGACTCAGCGGAGTGCACACCGAGCCCAGGTCAGCAGGATGCCCCCTGCAAGTGGCCTGGGTCACACACAGGGAAGAGGACGGTCACGCGGTCCTGAGGGTCAGGCCTGCCCAGAGAGCGCTAAGGTAACGCCTGGTCACAGCAGCCCAGCAGGGAGAGAGGGCGCGTAAGGCACGCTGAGGCTTCTAGGCCAGTGGTCAGTATGTGTCCAGAGTGAAAGCCCAGGGTATTCGCAGGGAGAGAACAAGGGCTCTGGAAACTCGCCATAACCGCGATATTAATCATAACCCCCGTCGAGGGGCAGGGGTCTGTCTCCTCGACACTGTGGACCCCTGTGCACTCGTATGCCGGCCACGCTGTGACCCACAGAGGCCCCAACGCTGCCAGGGGGTCGCTCTGCAATGACAAGCAGGACGGTGACCATAAGACTCGGGCTGCGAATGAGAAAGGGGACGACGGGTATCAGGAAGCACTTTGTAACCATGTTTCTTTTCTTATTCACTGGTTACTAAAAAGCCAGGTCTCGGAAATTTCCAGGAAGTTGTTTCTGTCAGATATCCTTTATAATTCTGTTTCCAGAAATCTCAAAATAGTTCCAAGAACCACTGGCATCTAGACTTTTCTTCTTCTTTTCCGTCTTCTCCCTTTTTTTTCTTTTTTTTTTTTTTTGGCTTTTTTATTCAATGTCAGAGGTTTTTCTTGAAAAGAAAGGCCCAATGGTCTCAGATCAAAAGAAAAATATTTATGTGTTTGCTGAGTTCTAAAAACACAAACTCCACAAATTTCTAAGAAAATATGAGAAAAATCCATCAGTGTAAACCAGTGCACTTCTGTTCAAGGGCTTCCCTGGTGGCGCAGTGGTTGAGAGTCCGCCTGCCAATGCAGGGGACACGAGTTCGTGCCCCGGTCCGGGAGGATCCCACATGCCACGGAGCGGCTGGGCCCGTGAGCCATGGCCGCTGAGCCTGCGCGTCCGGAGCCTGTGCTCCTCAACGAGAGAGGCCACAGCAGTGAGAGGCCCGCGTACCGAAAAAAAAAAAAAAAAAATGCAGCTTCACACTTGCCAGTTGATACTACGATACACCAGCCAATTTCAAAACCGGGAATAATTTAGAGCAAACGCGGATGAATATTCGTATTCTGCGCAGTGGAAGTGCCATTTCAATCTCCTTCTCCCGCTCTCACCTTCATAGCAGAAAGCTCTCGACCTGGGTGTGGTGCGGAATTGGCAGTGGTTGTGCCCTTGGGGACAGAGGGATGTAACAGCAGCACCTGCCCGGGGAGCCAGGACACCTGTTTCTGGTCCATCAGCACCAGGGTCCCCTCCCATTCACCGTGAACCCTTCCTGCCACGTGGTCCCGGGGCAGGCTGGGGGGTGTTAAATGCTGGACACACGGGGACAGGGTGGGGAAACGAGGCAATGTAAATCAACTGGAATGAAGGAGCCGCTCCTGTCTGAGGAGGGTCCGCTCCCGTTCAGAGCTCGGCTCCAGGGAAAGGCTGCGTCTGTGGGAAAAGACGGCCTGCAGACCGGGAAGCCCTTCTCCGGGCAGCCCCAGCGTGGACCAGACTCAGATCACCCACAGGAGAGGGCTGAAAGCAGACGCTTCAGAGCTCCAACTCCCCCAAATCTACAGTGTCAGAGGTACCTGATGCCCAGTTATCTCAAACTATGTTGTACAACTAACAATGTCTCTTTAAAGTAACTTTAATATTTGCTACCCTTGGCAACCGAAGCACCAGATAACCTTGACCTCGAAGTTTACAGGTACCTTCCCATTATTTTTATTTTAATCCTTTTGATTTAAACTAAACTTGTTTTTAGGAAATAAGTTTTGTTTTTACCTACTTCTTCCTTATCACATTTTTTAAAGATTTTTTTTTGATGTGAACCATTTTTAAAGTCTTTTATTGAATTCGTTACAATATTGTTTCTGGCCTATGCCTTGGTTTTTTGGCCATGAGGCATGTGGGACCCCAGCTCCCCAACCAGGGATGGAACCTGCACCCCCTGCATTGGAAGGCGAAGTCGCAACCACTGGAACGCCAGGGAAGTCCCGTCCCTTATCACACTTTTTGTGTCACAAATTTATGGTGTGAAACTTCTTCAGTGAGGTGTGAGAATCCCAACCAAGGGAATTATCCAGAAAAAAGTTAGGCTGGATGCAAACACAAATAAGCTAACAGTGACATCACCAAAAGGCCATCTGCGCTTAATTCCAATTTACCGTCCCTGTGCAAAAGCAACTCACCATGGACTCTGCAGAGCTCGAAGTGGGAGGCTTGGGAGAGCGACCTCAACTGTGGGACACAGAGGCCTCTGGTGTCAATGTCCACCCAGACAGATGGACGGCCTCTGGCCTCTGTCTAATGAACCCACCACAGACGCCCATGGAGACTATGGCCAACACAGAGGCTTAATATAGCGGCTTCCTCATCGTCCTCCGACAGTGTTTGACGGGAATTATCCTCCTAAAGGACACTTGATGGGGGTTCTCTAAAGGAAGAGGGCACCAAAGAGGATGGTAAAACTCAAACTTTACTGCCACCTCCACAGCACCTGTTCTCACAAGCTAAGTCAGCACAGGCCATTGTTTCTAGAAGGTTCTCTAAAAGGTAGATCGCCTGATACTTTAATTCATTCTTAGGTCACTTCTCATTTCTCAGCACAGATACCCGAGGTGTGTAACAACAATCAAGGCATAAAGTTACATCCAGACTTTTCTCCGAGGGACGTGTTTAGGGCACACAAATCAGACGCACGTGGGAGGTGAGTGCTGGGCTGCCCTGACGCCTGTGGGCAGAGTGTCCTGCGGGGTGTCAGCGGGAGTGGTGCCCACGTCCAAGGACCGGCAAAACTCTGTCTTTGTCGCGTAGAGCAGTGGCTCCAACCTGTTCACTTAGGATGTGTCGCATTACGAAAGGAAGAGCAAATTACTCAAAACCTGGCCAAGTACAGAGTTGAGACAGTAGCTCTTCTTTCTTTGGGCAGATTGTTGGCGCTAACAGCTAAACACTGCAGAACACTGTCTCCAGGGTGTTTTAGCCTGTGTGGCTCTTTTTCCTAGATAATAAGAAAAAGAAGGTTAAATCTCTTTCTGAAATTGACTCTATTTGTGCTTGAAACATCAGCGTGTTTTGCTGAGTCAAACCCTTCATTAACGTGGGAAGCATTTCAATGTTTTGCTCTAAGCGGTGCTTGTTAACTCCAAATCTGCTTCTTAGATCAGGAAAATTGAAAATTACAGGTGTGAAATCAGCACCCCCCCAAAAAAATCACTGAAAACGGCACAGGTGCTAGTACACACTCCCCACAGGCTGAAAGGTGAAATGAGAAGGAGTTGGAAGAACCAATAAAAAAAAAAACTGGTGAGAATAATTTTAAGAGACTTTGGAAACATTCTGTGAAACCCTTGGATAAATTTGTGTCATGATGTCATAAAACATTCTAAGAAAAGAGAGCATTCAACAAGAAAAAAAAATGATTCAGAAATGACTCTTCTCGCTACGTGCTCTCAACATAAACCCTTGACATTTTACGTAGAAAACCTTAGCCAAATGAAAATAAAGCACATGGGTGTACACTTCAGTGACTGATTCTTGAACAAATGATCGAAAGCAACTTACCTTTGCAGTTTCCACGGTAAGCAATCTCTAGCCGGGGGTCTTTGCACTTGGCGCGCTGAAATTCACAGCGAGACAGGAAGGTCCTCCCATCCGAGGCACAGAGGGGTTTCTGGGTGGGACCCCCACAGTCCAAGCTGCAGTCCTTGTCCTTGTCTTGGTCGACTCTCAAAAACTTGGAGGAGCAAAGAAAAAAGAAGCCAGACATCTCAAAGAGTGTTCGATGGAAAGCATAAGGCTATCTAAGGCCACTTAGTGCCAGGGGATGTCCCAGACACATGGTGGGAAGCTCTGAAAACTCCGACCTCCATCTGTTTCACACATCTGGATAACTGGTAACTTCTCTGCTCGGCATTTGGTGGCTGAACCCCTGATGGCTCCACCACTGGCCTGGGACGCCGTCCAGGTCTGCACGGGGGTGCACATGTTCTGCGTACCTTTAATAATCTGAATAGCAATGTTTTTCTTTGAGTTTGTGAATTCAGTGCCTGGTTGACTCCTGCATTCACCAGGTTTTGCGATCACCTTGGAAGTCGTGGGCATCAGAAGTGCCCTGCCGGCCTGGAACTGGGGGGCAGTCTCTCCCTGTTGGACAGTTCCACACAATCTCACCTCTGTCCCAGGACCCAGGGCTGCTGGGGTGGTGTGAGCACGGAGCCCCTGCCCCAGGTTCCCCTCCGTGAAGTCCCCGTTGACCGCTCTGGGGTCCCCATCCTCTCCTTGGCCCCTCTGACGGCCCGGACACAGGGCTTCAGAGCTCGCAGCATCTCCCAGTGGGGCTTAGATCCGGCCACCTGCTCCCACACCTGCCCTCCTTGGACCGCTGATGGCGCACCCTGCTCACCCCCCGGGCTTCCAAACCCCCCGTGCGTCCCACCCTCTGTCCTGTGTAGGCCTCCTCAACCCAGACGAAGCAACAAGCACGAAGATGAATCCAATAAAGCCTCAAGCTCTGGGAAGTGGAGCCATCACGAGCCTTTGGTCACTGGAATGTCACCTGCCCTTCACAGCGATTTATTAAAGGAAAGAGAGAAAACCCCGAGCTGTGGTTACTACTCAATACTCCACAGCAGTATGTAGAGCCCTGGCCTCTGTGTATATCTGAACAGGTTTATTTGGTATGTTTGCCCCGGTAATATTTACAGGGGCAGATCTCTACTCACAGCAACCCCTCCCCTGTCCCAGTCTGAGCTGGAGGAAGAGAGGGAATGGACTTTAGCAAAATTGCAGGGACCTCATCAACTTGTTCCCTCATCAGGAAGAGACAGAAAGGACATTCTCAAACTCAGGGTGCTTCGCTCCTTAAAAAGATACCCACACTCTCCCCCTTGCGTCTCTGAGTGTCCTAGCTGGCGATGTGTAAAGACCTACCGAAGCTGAAGCTGAGATGAAGCCACAGGGGGAGGAAGGCCCCATGGGGGGACAGCTGTCCAGGGAGCCACATCGCTCCCGGGGTCCAGGCGGGGTCCTCACAGCCCCACCTGGGGTCCTGGGGAGGAAGGGCTACGAGTGCACCGTGGCAGGGAGGGTGTGAGGGACAATCCCTCGACGTGTTTGGTTGGGAGCTGAGGTCCCTGGCCATTTCCCGGATTTCTGGAGAAAGGCTCCAGCCAGGAGGCAGGTCATGGGCGCCTGGAGGGGGACGGTTCTTTGTTCAGTGGGGCCCCAGGACACAGGAGAGACATTCTGCAGGCTCTCATTTTTCCTAAGAAGTTCACTTGCTAAAATGATCTGTGCTTATTTTAACCAAGAGGCAAGTGAAAACAGATCATTACCTTTCCAAGATTTCGCAACAACAACAAACGTGTTCTTTTACTAAAAATGGGTAAAGCAAGGCCATAAGCACATTTGATTGAATTCTGTCATTGAGGGGTTTCAACCCCTTGTTTCTCTTTCCCCGAAACTGATTCATGAGAATCAACTCTCCAGCCACGATGGCACACCCCAGGCAGCGGCAGCTCCCAGGAGACTGGAGCGCCCAGAGCACCGCACCTGAGGAACTCCATCCGCGCGAAACACTGCTCCTCTTACAAAGTCACCGCCTCACCTCGTTCCTCTCCTCACAAGCATTTGAGTTTTCGTAGACTTGTTCTTATGACTCGCAGCTGGCCTGGAACAGAGCGGTTTTGTGCAAGAGAAAGAAAGATAGAGAGACAGAGGCCACCAGGGGAGCAAACTTGACCGTGAAACATCTCGGGACCTTCGCAGGCCCAGTGCACACAGGAGCCCGCCCAGAAGCAGCTCCCTTCTACTTTAGATGACAACCTGAAATAACCTAAATCCTGCTAATTTTTGTGTTTAAGAGGTGGTCTATTTGTATTTCCTGAAACCCCAAGTGAGGAAATGCGGATGACTTAGGGAAAGACGTCGTAATTATCATTTTCTCTGAATGTAGAGAGGCAGCCTCTATTTTTTATTTTTTAAAAAAGCTGAGCATTCAGGCGCTTAGAATTTGACCATAATTCTCAATAATTTAATAGTGTAGAACAAACAATGGAACTGTTCCTTCTCAGAAATGAGGGCATTCACACTTTCTGCATGTTTCTCCCCCTCCCCGTTTTTAACAGCAATTAAATTCCAGGGGAGACCGTGTACAGAGGAAAATGAGCTTTTAAGGGAGCTGGATTCTTTGCTAAACAAAGCCCTGGAGGGAAAATAAAATAGTCCTATTCTAAAGAATTTAGTGTTCACTAAAGAACTTGGTTGAGGGTCTTCAAACTAGTTCAGATAAAAGGCACTTTGTCAAATTTAGAAGGAAATCAATTACACCTTGAACAGCACTATTAAAACAACGACCTCAGGGTCCCAGGGCCCCGGCTCCTTTGCTTTCACGAAGCAGGGCTGTCTGCACAGGTGCCTTGCGGGGGAGGGGCAGAAGGAAGCTAAGGGGGTGCATGTGCAGTGCCTGCCTGGAGGTCATGCGACTCCTGCAGTGGAAACAGTAGGTCAAGTGCAAACGGATTAAAGATGTGATCCGCCTTCTGCTTAATAAATGCATGGGTTTAAGCCAGAGGAAAAGCCGGAACAAAATGAAAACATGTAAGAAATGGGTTAAAACACTCTTAATACGGATGAATTTCCTCACTGTGATATGGATATCTGATTAGAATATGGGGTAACACATGGTATGGGTTAACATTAAGAAAAACATTTCTGAATTACATAATCCGGCAGCTGTAAGATTCCCCAAAGCAAGAACCTTCTAAATAATGAGCCACCGGGAAATGAATGTAGCTTCCAAGTAAGTGTGTTAGTGTGACACGAGGACGAGGCTCATACACTGGGGGTGAGATGGGCTAGAACCGCGAGGGCATCTGGGGCATGGGTGAGTCTGGGGGGTTTGAGAGAGTAAGTGATCTTGTACCACGGGGAGAAAGTGGGGACACCGGGGACACGGTTATAAACACACCTGCTAAAGGGCAACTTCTCCACTTTAGAGGCTAAGCTTTCACAGATTTCAGGAAAGAGTTCCCTACTTTCTAGTGGAACAGAGAACCCGAACCTATGACACAAACACGGAGATGGTGTTTTAGAGCCTCCAGCCTGAAGCTGAGACGTTTGAGTGAAACACAGCTGCTGCCCCGAGTTCTCCCCCAGAGACACAGCCACTCACTCATTCATTCATTCACTCATTCATTCACTCGCTCACTCATTTGTTCACACGTTCACCCATTCATTCACTCATTCACCCATTCACCCATACATTCATTCCCTCACTCATTCATTCGCTCATTCATTCTCTCACTCATCAATTCATTCACTCATTCATTCGTTTGCTAGAACTAACAAATGCCAATCGTGCGTGTTTTACAAACGCTCTCCTGCAGTATTTTCATTGTCTGCCTCTTTTTCACACTCTTTAAGGACATTGTATTTCTAAGGTAGATCAAAAGTCAGGTCCAGCTTGAATTGAACTTGTTCAGTAAGTGTTGAGGGACAGCCCTCTGCCAGGCTTTTTCCTGGACTCCAGGAGGGGCGTGGGGTAGGGTTCAAAGGTGGTCCTGTCCTCACAGAGTTTAAGTTCCAGAGGGCAGCGAACACAGCACCACAAAGCATCACGACGGCATCTAGGCCAACGAATAACCATCGTGTGGTGCAGTGGGAAAGCCCAGGAATGAGACGGGATGTGGCCTGGAATCCCAGGGCACAGGTCACCAGAAGCAAATCAGGAACAGTGACGTCATGCAGGTCTGCTGTGGGGTCAGTCTGGCGACTGGCCTACAGACCAACGAGCTGGGAGGCACCCTGAGGACCGGGGAGGCTCAGGGGTGCCAGGGGTCCGGGAAGCTGGTCCCCTTCCTGCCGCCAGAACACTCCCAACCCTGTGTTCCCCTTGTTACACACAGATGAAACCAGCGGACAGAGTCTTACAGGAAGCAACCCACTTAGTACGGTTCTCCAGTCCTCTGTAATTAACTCGGCCCAATTGCAGCGTTCATGGTGCTAACTGTAAACCAGTGAAAACTGGATTCTGCCACTGCTCGATGCTACTCAGGACGTTTAGCAAACCGTCAAAATCACAAGAGTGTGGTGTCGACTCGGTCTGTTTGTCTGTAAAACGGGAGCAATAATACTTTCTCTGCCGACTTTGAGGTAGCTGTGAGAATAACTAAAACAACGGGGTTTACACTGTGGAGAACAGGATGAAGACAAGCGCGGGTGGGAAGGGCGTCTGTCCCCCAAGGGAGCTGCCTCCTTTCCAAGGCAGGCGTGGCACCAGGAGGATCGGACCCCAACAGAGACGGCGGGATCGGCTCTCTCTTAGGTGCCTGTCCCCACCCCTGCTTTCCCGACTTGAAAAACAAGCCAGCAACGTGAAGTGAAGACAACAGACTGTGGGCCTGCAAAGGGGGCTCTGTCGTAGCAAGTTTAAGACCCTGAGTGAAATAACGCAGTGAGATAGCAACGTAGTGATAACGTGTGTCACCATCATCACTTTGGGCCTCGTTGTGCCTTTTCGTTGTATTTATGGGGCATCTGTAGGAATTTAAAAACCAAGGGCAAACTATTGGGATGAATTTGTTTAGGTTTTATGACTAGATTAAAGCTATAAACCCAATAAAGAGATAGAGAGTGGCCAACAGTCTGTGCTGGAAAATGCCAGTGTGTGGGGGGGGGGGGTCTGCACCGCAGGGCTCAGTGGTCAAAGAAATGGCCTTGACTTTGGAAACGGGC